TTCATCGTTTAGATGCTTGGACCTAGTTTCATGAGCACACGTCAACGCAATATCGCCGAAAGCAAGGCGAGACTCAGCTATAATTTCGCGTACTAGGTAAATTGTCAGGAACACCAGTGAAGAACCAGGTAGTATCATAACAACTGATTGTATCAGTTATATAATTTGTGTGAGTACATCAAGTCAGACAGACATCCTGTCAGCATCTCCAACGGTGTTTTTATTTCTATTTCAATTCGAAGTTACGGATATAGAATAGAAATTCTTGCACTATCCGGAAGGTTTGTTGCTATTTCACCGAAAATAGAAATTCTGGAGTCGAAATTTCAAAAAGTCGGATAGTGCCAAAATAGCAACCGTAAAAACGAAGTTTGACTTTAACCTATGCTTTAGCAATAGGTTAGAATTTACCGTGGAGATTGATCAGTACATCAATCTACTCAAGACACTCAACGACGCTCATAACCTCGACCGCACAATGGTGCAGTTAAAGTCGAGGTACGACACGATCAAGGGGATGTATGGTGTGGTCGTCAAGCTCGCCAATTCCAGTGGAATGGGATGGGAGTGATCAAGGTGCAGTGCCGAAAGCTTGTCAACGACGTGGGATGAAGTTCTAGCCCGGAAACCGAAGTCGTGGCGAACATGGCAAAATCGCCCGTTTCCCCAGTTCGCACAACGTGAGACCCTATTTCGGCCGATTCGCGACTGCACAAGTGTATCACAACGAATACAAACACGAACACGGCGAAGTGTTGGAGAATGATGTCGGCGATGACAGCAGTACTGACGAAGTGCCGTCAAACTAAGTTGACGCTGGAAGAGCACGTCAAAGCGCTTCCACCGAGGAAGCCAAAAGAAACGGCAGCGAACGTCGCTCGCTTCGAAGTTGTCAAATGATTTTCGTGCTGTCCACGACGCCGCTGTCAAAGAGCTGGAGCTTTTGACACAAGTATTACGCCTATCGTCCGTGGACAATGGAATGTCGCCGACTGAAGGAGCCATCAGAAGATTGCAGCAAGGTTTTGCTGACGAGTTGGACATTGACGACATGGTGTTAGCGTTCGACATTATGGAAAATGGTACGCGCGCCGCAATGTTTCTTTGCATGGAAGGTGAAAATCGTTGCGCCGTCAGCTGAATCAACTGACGACAACTATTATTGCCTAGTGACAATTTAGTTAGGAGTTGTACTTTAGATAATAACACAACGCGTAACAACTATTAATAGTACTACCATGATCTTGAACTTAGTTACTTAACAGCATGGAGCACTCGCCGGAGGTGATGTGATGGTTTCGCCAAGAGTGTTGGAACCGTTGCTGGAGGTTGGCGCTTGTTGCTTGGTAAAGTACATACACATTGCAAGCTGTTCAACGGAGCTGATTTTTCCAGTTGCTTGAAGCCCGGCTTTGTCAACAAGCTCGTCGTGTAGCATGAGGAATGTCTCATGGGGCATTTTGAAAGCTGTCGACGAAGGCGTCGTGGTTCCCGATCATAATATCTTGGACCCACATCGCTCCTGTCAGAATTGATATTCGTTTTGGTGTCTTGTGAACGAAAGCAGCGTAGTGGTAGCTGATGTATGCAATCATGAGAAGCCGCTTGCGTCGATGAGCTCGGCGCAGCAAGTAGAGCAGCCACAGCTCGTGACGCTGTGGCTGCTCTACTTCGCGCGTTTTTCAAAATGCTCTGATTGAAAACTTCCGGATAATAATGAGGTATCCAGACAAATTGGTTCTAATATATTGTGGCAGTTTTCATAGGTCGCTTGGTGTTTTTGGAAAAAGTGAATAAAAGCGCCAGAATGATTTCTGGCGGAAAAATAATGGTGGCATCCAGACCAGCCCTTAGTTTTTTTTATTCGACGGACTTTGAGGTGGAGTGCTTAAAACATTTGACATTTTAGTGCACAAAAAGCGTTCGCGATATTGATGGATTACCTTACTTTTGTCTTCGAGGCCAACGTGAATATCATCAGTTAATTGGATAACATACTTCAATATACGATCTCAAATGCAGCCAATCGGTGAAGGTTATCAAAATATAGTACTGTAATCACTTGGTAAAAACGAAATTTCATTTCATTCCAGTTAATAGAATTCTGCAATTACGTTTACAGCTCTAAAAACACGTACCCTTGGATTCTTCAAAATGTCTAGTAGCAGGTCATGTGTTGATAAAAGGTGAAGTTGGCACGTACAATTGACTGATAGAATGAAACGAGTGTAATCGTAAGCGTTTGGCGCAGTGGCGCAATGGTTAAGTGCGACGGCATAACAATTATTATAGAGGAAGGGACCCGGGTTCAAATCTATAGTGCAGTCATATTTACTTTGTTTTCCAAAGTAGACGATACCAATAACTTTGAGGATCGGAAGTGACCCCCTTCATTGACTCGGGATGTCGGCGCACGTGCTGTGGACGCAAGTCGGGGTCGTGGCTGGTGATGCCGGGCACTGTCACTTTTTTCTATTATTTGTATTTTTTTAGACTTCATCAAGCTCGCATAGTTTTATGCAAGTATAACATATGTTATCAATGAAATTTTTATTAAAACACTTAAACAGTGTCTACCATCCTTCACTTTGGAAGCGCTTTCTCAGAACTACCGCGGATCTCGTCGCTCCACACCAGCTCCCATGCGGCAATCGATCGTTTCACTAGAGCCATGCACTTGTCGCGTGCAGTGAGGAAAAACGGATCTTCGTCATCCCCGACTATGATTTCTTCAAATCATATCGGGTACGACTTTCGCTTCATTTTTTGAAATGCGTGCCATAGATCAGATATATTTTTTTACACTTCGACAATGGCGGGAAGTATTTAAATTCCGCCAATCATCGTTGAGTATTTCAACACTAACTGTAACGTTAAGTTCTGATTGGACATAAGGTTTGGTTACACTGGAAAATCTTCGATTGGCCTTGCATTCCCTCGTTCTCTGTACAGTAGCACTGAGCTCACATGTACAGTACTGTACGTACTGTATGTCGCCCTAGTGTGAACCCTTGATACAGCAGGAGTCACTACATGTAGAATATATATGGTAGCCACATAGACTATGGAGTAGATAGGCTTACAGTGGTGAGATGAGCATTGAAAGCTGACCTCGGGGAGGACACGATTGAAGCTACAGTACTAAGGGGAGTTCATTTACCTGTTTTGTTTGCCCCCTTGAATAATCCCCAACGTTCGCTGTCACGGCGGACTTTCTTGCTGAGCTCTTTTACCGTGAAGTACTACTGTCGCATAGCGTCCGACGCTTGTCGTAGCATCTCCTGATGCTCCGCCGTGGCCTTGGCCTGGTTTAACATGGCCCGCTTAAGTTCGTCTTGTTGACGGACTAAGTCCTCTTGTTGCATCAATAACGCGACTTGCACCGTCTCTTGCTCCAGGCGATTTTTCTCCACTGCCGCGGACATAACCAGTTGACGGTTCGATTCTTCCTCCAACCGTTTCGACATGGCGTCTTGTTGCGCGTGAAACTGAGTAAGCTGTTCGTAGGTCATTTGATTGAACTGACTTGACGACGACGCCGCACGCTCCACGCTTTGCATTCGCAGCTCGTCCATCTCAGACTGGTTAGGCGGAGGCAATGGCACGATCACTACGGTCTCCATCGACCGTGTCCGCGTTACACGAGCCAGCAAGCTCGTGAACGGAAGACTTCCTTGTTCCATACTCATACGGCAAGTAGCATGCATCTACTAAAGAATTATTTGCTGCGTCTCAACTTGACGGACCTTGCAAAGTCCGATCCAAAGGCAAATCACAAAGTGAATACCCCCCAGTGGCAAGTAGTCACTGGGGCTTAACCCTAACGTAATTAGACAGCTGCTGGGCAGCCAATAATCTAACTAGCGAATAGGATCACACCCAGGATATCCAACTTAATCGAACACTTGGATATCTTCTTGGGAGGGGGTTCTGCGAATCGCAACAATAGCCCCATAAATTACTCGTCAGAGAAAGGTCAGATAAGGTTGCCAACCAACTTGGAGGCATCAAATACTTCCCACAGTACGGGTAGGTGAGGCGATGATTGTCAAGAATTACGACTACAGCGTTAGAATTGTGTGTCACACACTAGTAGAAATGTTGCTGATAGCATTCGAAACATTATTCATTGAAATTGCCACGTAGTAATAATTATTTATACCGTGTATACGCACATCTTGCGTAGATAATAAATGGAACAACGCGAGGACGAAAATCTAACTAGCATACTTGGTGGAATACATAGTGGTTTGAGTCGTAGTAGCGGGACTGATTGAAAATTGCGGTAGCTACTGTATGCATGGTGGACCTCAAAGGCGAGGTGGCTTGGTTACGAAACTTCACGTCAAGTAGCGTCAACACCGACTACCGGTAAGACTACTCGTACGTCGAAGGTTCCCGACGTGCACTACAAAGCTGATATGAGTTTATTCGGCATGGGGCACTCCTAAAGGGTCAATCCGTTCCATTAGATAGATTACTCTGCACACATCGGATCACACATTACACGTAAAATATTGCCCTTGTTTCATCATAGCAGCAAACAACTAATAGCACTATAATTAATTCCTATCAGGGGTTTCTCGATAAATATATTTCATTATTGACCCCGTCGTAGAAATGAATCCGCTGCTTTCAAACGAGTTTTGTTGACACTAGTTGTTGAACCACCTTTTTGTATGCTGTGATTCTGCTTATTTCATGTACTCGCTACTTACAATGAGCACAAAACCCACACATAAACATGTGACGGAGCTGGAGCACGGGCTTGTACTACTATACCACATCGTGGCACTGCCACCACAAAAGTATCTTATTGGATGGACCGACTACCTTCGAATTCGGCCGTTATACTACACGACCTTTCCCCAAAGGTCGTCAGCCTTAGCTAGCTTTTAGATAGTTCACTTTACATTTGCCTAACATTGGATCTACTCCATTCTTGCTGAGTTCTCCTTGGCCAAGCCGAGAGTATCCGGTCTTGAAGTCCGAACCTCCGGACCTGCATAAGTTTTGTGCGTCTAACCCCTACGACCGTCACAAACAACTGGCACAACGAACCACCACTATCTTTAACGGCTTGGACGTTCACACTCTGCAAGTGATTAGCCTCCTCCAGCACGCTGGCGAATCGCCAGAGACCCTAGCATGTATTCATTCCTTCGACACAGCCAAGAGACAGCAACGTCCACGCCAAGTTGTGTGCGCTACTGTATCACCCAGCAACACACAAAGCATGTCTTGGACGTTGCTGCCTCGTTGGAAGTTGGCAAGGTTGGCTGCCATGTTTGGGCGACCTTTCCAAATCTGGGTATTATAGGAGATTATGATGAAGCTATAACGTTATATTATCATACAGCATTGAAGGTTGAGTTTGTCCTACAATTCTACCGGTATCACCACCCGCTTGATGAAATCTGGATTCAAATCGGAGGCACAAACTTAATCACACTGGCAGTGGTTGTGATAAATCGACGAACTCGCTGTGTATGCGGTCGTCATGGTGGCTGCATGGTCAACCTTCGTCCCAAGCATCGTATATCCCTATTGACTAAATGCCCCAAAAGTTTGAATTGCCCTATTTCATTGTATCGTTTCCCTACTCATGGTGAATCTATCCAAGCTATTGTGCCAAATCCGTGATTTGACACTGTAGGGAGGGAGTTGATAACGCAGAGGAAATTGTAAACTGATTGATTGGCGTTATCTACATCTACATGCATGACTACTGTGACTATACTATATCTAATGCTATACATATGTGCGCTCTGCAGAAGGAACTTCTGGTGTCCATGGCCGAGCACGCCGCACGCCAATCGAGCTTGGTCGTAAACTGACGTCAACAGTGACGTCTGTTCT